TAGATTTCCACAGCCTTTCTGCTCACTAAAATGTTGTCTAATTTATTGCTTACAAAATAGTTTAAGCTGACCCATGAGCTCCCTAGAGAGCTATTCTCCAAGACCAATTGCCTCCCGCATCATGAGAAACTATGGTAAAGCTCTGTATTTTAATAGAGTCAAAATGAGTCAAAATTAATTCATAAAAATTTGCCATTTTCCTGGTAGCACCAAACTGATTTTCATTTCCAGTTAGTCGATCAATCACATTTAGCAGAGGAAAAGTAGGTGACAACATTATGCCTAGTCTTTGCAAAAAAATAGACAAAATACAGAAGTGACTAAAGGCTGCTTTAGCTATGAGCTGAAGCAAAAAATTTCACTTCCCTGGAACTCAATTCCATTTTATACTTGTCCTTCAAATTTCATTTCTCAGTTTATTACTCATTGCTGATAATTCTATGTTGGACACTGGTTGGGAAAGATTTTGAAATGGCCAAGCATGTATTATTTTTATTTAAAATTGCTTCAGGCTGGGGCGCCTGGGTGGCTTCGTTGGTTAAGCATCCGACTTTCACTTAGGTCATGGTCTCGTGGTTTGTGGGTTCGAGCCCCGCGTTGGGCTCTGTGCTGACTGCCAGCTCAGAGCCTGGAGCCTGTTTCAGTCTGTGACTCCCTCTCTCTCTGACCCTCCCCTGCTCATGCTGTCTCTCTCTCCCTCTCTCCTAGAAATAAATAAAACATTAAAAAAAATTTTTTTTAATTGCTTCAGGCTTCAAAGAGATCACTGTTCTTTGACAGGAGAATCTTCCAGATGCACTTTCCAACAGATCTGGAATTCCTTTCCTTTATTATACACATCTGCTTTATGTAAGCTGGCCTTCTCCTAGCACTAGGAGACAACCATTAACTCATAATTTGTAAATTTATACTCTGCAGATACTCATTTTCTTAAGAGTATTCCTAGTGTTATTCTCTTGAGTATTAAAAACAAGTGTAACATACACAAGACCCCTCTGTGCTAAGGGCACAGTACCACCATCAGCACCCTCATCCCCAGAGCTTTACCTACAATGTCCTAGAATTCCATCTACTCGTGTCCATCCACCTGTCACCAGGATCTTCAGCTCTTACAGGTCAGGGATCCTGTTACGCATCTTTTGCATTCTTCTAGTGTCTAACTAGAGTAGTGAAGCAGCACGTGGGCATTCAATAAGCAATTGTCGTGTCATGATGAAGTGAATTAAACATCTGCATATTTCTGGTGCTAATGAAAGATGTAGCTGAATGTGCCCTGCTCTCCACAGTCTGAGAAGTGTCCTCAAAAGGAAGATAAACAAGGATGACTAGGAAGAAAAAGCCAAAGACCAATGCAAAATAGTACACAAAAGGGTTAGAAGAAAAATAATTTCTTTTTAACCTGGTCCTCTCTCTGCTGCAGACAGGGGTCATTTGGTAAATGTCCGATAAAAGTTACAACAAACATGGTATGATATGATTGTCACATGTACCAGCAGAATGAAGCAAGACAGATTTTTTGGGGTGGGGGTGGGGTGGGGGTTAAGCTTGAAGTTATGAGAAAAAGTTCCATGTTTATTTCGTAGTATTTCTTTGACTTTCGGATTAGTAAGCTTGTATAGAAATAATGAAAAAGATTTCTCCAAGCCCATGACTAATTCCTACTTAACTCAGACACTAGTTTTTATGCACATTCTTCCTCTATTGTAAACCTCGTGAGTGTCATGTGCAGGAAGTAAGACATGCAGACAGCACACAGAGGTTTTCTGTTAACTTTAGAACTATCCCATGGGCTTCCTACAGTACTGTGTGCTTGGGCTCCAGATGCTACAACCATGACCTCATATCCCTCTATATGATGCCCGGACTAGCTGCTGGTTTTTAAAAGCTTGTTTTGAATCCTTCATTTTATTCATTTTACCCCATCTCTCACAGGGTCTAGTGGAACAGTGAGCAAATTGTGGATTTTCAATATAGAATTGAAATTCTATAAACTGAATTTAAAATTTATTTATTTTTAATTTTTTTAATGTCTTTATTTTATTTTGAGAGACAGAGACAGAACGAGTGGGGAAGGGGTAGAGAGAGAGGGAGACACAGAATCTGAAGCAGGTTCCAGGCTCTGAGCTGTCAGCACAGAGCCCGATGCGGGGCTCGAACCCAGGGACTGTGAGATCATGACCTGAGCCGAAGTCGGACACTCGACCAACTGAGTCACCCAGGTGCCCCTAAAATTTATTTTTTAAATGTTTATTTATTTTTGTGAGAGAGAGAGAAAGAGAGAGTGCGGGAGGGGCAGAGAGTGTAGGAGAGAGATAATCCTGAGCAGGCTTTCCATAGTCAGTGCAGAGCCCAATACAGGGCTCCATTTCATGATCTCTGAGATCATGATTTGAACCTAAATCAAGAGTCAGATACTTAACCAACTGAGCCACCCCTAAAATTTAAAAGAAATTTTAAACTACTATATTTTGTTTCTAGGATGAAAGTTTTGCAGGGTATCTATGGAACAATACTATAACTGAATAAGTATTATAAAATAAATATTATAAAATATCATAAAATTGTTAGGAAAACTAGCAGTTTAACCAAAAGTGGGCCTTGCATACATACAGTCAGGTCTTGGCTGTTTCCTGTAACATATTTGCCATACCTTTTATATAAAGATATATCTGTAAAGCATTAACTACATTTTAAAAAAGTATTTGGAATTTTTTTGTTGTGTAAAAATGCTTAGGTAGAACCATATAAGATCCTTTATTTCTATTCCCTTAGCTTTTGAAAAATAAATTCAATTCTTTAAATAATTTTATGGAAACTACCTGGTATGTGCTGTATACTGGCCGTAGAGATGAACTTAACAGTGTCTGTTGTGTGATCTTACTTGTGGAATTGGTCTAGTAACATATTCATGTCTTGGCAACACCCCCCCTTCATTTTAAAGAGTAGTCTTAAAAAAAATTAGTGCTTATTTTTGACAGAGAGAGACAGAGCGACCGCGTAAGAGCGAGAGGGGGAGGGGCAGAGAGAGAGGGAGACACAAAATTTGAAGCAGGCTCCAGGCTCTGAGTTGTCAGCACAGAGCCTGAAGGGGGTCTCAAACCCATGAACCATGAGATCATGACCTGAGCCAAAGTCAGACGCCCAGCGGACTGAGCTACCCAGGCGCCCCAAGGGATAGTCTTTAATAATGAATTTTTAACCTGTATTCCAAAGGCCACCATTGTCACTGGCAAAACTAGAATATTTTAAAAGACAGTCATGACTAGAAGTTTAGGACTGTTTAGCAAAACTGAGCAGGGAGCAGGCACATTTCTTTGTGTCCACAGATCTGATTACCTGCCATTTTTCATATATAGTAGAACCTAAAGCAGTGACCCAAAACATGGTCTGAGAAGCATCTAGGAAATGTGTCAGTCAGGCAGATACCCAAGTCCCTCCCCCTCCCACCCCCCCCTCCAGAACAATAGAACCAGAGCTTCTGCTGCAGGACCTGGACTTCTACATTTAAAATAGTATCCCAGGTGATTATTATGCTCGCCAAATTTTCAAACCACGTAGGTTCATACATACCAACTTAAAAATATACAACTCATATTTTGGAAAATAAATTGTATTTCATTAGGCCTCTCCACTCAGTATACTTCTGTGTCATTTCCTGCTCTCTTTGTCTTCTCTTTCCTCTTGCTACGTCACATAGAAGTTTTGAACTATGAGTGATTGGAATTCTTTGGTTATAAGCAACAGAATCTAATTCTGAATGAGTTTGGCTAAAACAAAGTTAACTGCACTTTCTGGAAGTAACTCATAAATCTAAAGATTCACTGTTAGGAACAGATAAGACCCAGAATATCCCCAGATATGTACGTAGAGTAGGAAGGTCTGGTTGTATTCAATTCCTATGTCATTTTATTCAAATTTCAAATTACAATGGGAAAGCACAAGCTTTGCCTAGCATGGCCATCTGACCATACCTTGGCCAGAGGAGGGTGTGTGACTTCTAGTTCCAGAGGATAGGGCAAGTTCTAGACCAAGGCATAGATCTCTAAAACAAAATAGCAGTACCATTACAAGAAGAGTAGAGGAAGATATCTGTGTAGTCAGAAGTAGCAGGTTCACCATATAACATAAAACTTTAGAAGGCTGGATACAAAGTCCTCATTTTATTCAGAAGTCAATGAATTCCTGGGAGTTAATCAACAAATACTTAGCATCCCCAAAATACATCAGCCCAACATAGCACCTAGTATTCTGTGTCTGGTGCCATGTTGGGTTATAGGGTAATAATAATGAAGTTACTAGAGATCAAAGGCAACAAATTAAGCAATTGGTAAGTGGATAGTTGAGACAGAATATGTTTATAACAGAACTTCTCTAATCAGGACTAAGTAGGGAAGAGCCTGTGTTAAATGGACTATTGTTTGTTAACTAAGGACAGTATGGTAAACATCACTTTGCCTGCTGGGGTTCCTATGGGACCTTCCTTGAGGAATACATATGGAGGCTTGCAATTAATATAGTAATTAAACAGTTATTAAGTAAATAAAATTACCTGATTACAAGGTTTTCTCTCAAGTAGGCAAGTAGTGTCTCTGAAATTGTTATATTACATTATTTATTTGAATAGACCCTATCATTTCAACCCACTTTTATTGAGCACCTAATATGTGATAGACACTGGGGAGAAAAAAAATTATCCCTGCTTTCAGGGAGCTCACATTCATTTTCAGGGAGTTCTTTTCTTCAGAGATCATGGAGACAAACTTCAGTCTAGCTTTATATTAACTTATCACAACTTCCACGATTTGCCCTTTTCTACTTGACTTTTCACAAGGTGTCTTGCCAGCAATGTTCCATCCCCCATTTGTCCACCTAAAACACATCAACTCATCCTTCCTGTTTGAGATCCAGGACTCAGAGTAGAGTTTTCTTTGGCTTCCCCTGGAAACGTAAAACTTTCCCATGACATTTTATGCCAATACATCCATCCCGTAGTTGCTTACCTGCCTTGCTCCTCATTAGGCTTTCACCACCTTTCTTTTTTATCTTCTAAGAACCTAGACCTTCTTAGTCTCTTACACGTGGCTTCGACCACTATTTATATTCTGAGAATGCTCCAAGCTATGTCTCCACCTCAGAAATGTCTGTTGATTTCTGGATTTATACACCCTGCAGCCAACAAAGAATTTCCAAATCTGATCTCACTGATGACTCCTTCACTTGTTTCCTCCTATTGGAATTCTCAGTCTGGGTGAAAGGTTCTGCCTTCTACCTAGTTTTCCAAGATAGAAACCTGCAATCTCCTGGCCCGTCTCCTCCTCCCGTATAAATTCGGAATTCAAGCTTTGTTCTTCTTTTTCCTTTAATTTTTTTCTACTCTGCCTGCTTGCTCTTCTACCTTCCCCCTGACACTGCCTTACCTCAGGCCAGCATGATTTTTGTCAGGAGGACTGCAGCAGCTTCTAGACCAGAGCCACTTACCTACCCCTAGTCCAGCCCCTTCAGATACAGAGAGATCTAGCTTCCAGAGAGATGTGGGAGTTGACTTTGTAAAACAACCTGCTTCTCTCACCTCTTTAAAACATTTTTTCAAAAGTTTCTGCAATATTAAGGATAAAGTTCAAGTTCCTTCACACAACATAAAATCTCCCCTTTACCCATCAGAGTCTAGCTTCCGGGTATGCCAAGAACAGGAAGTACTGTTGATGCCTCCACCCCCTCACCACCCCTCACTGGAGCCTTACCAGGGCAGTGAGGCTGACTTCCTACTGCCTGAGTAGAAGTGCTCCGTTAACACATTTCAAAAGTTGCTGCACAAATGAATATTCCAACTTTCTTACCTCCCCGTGGATAGCTCTGAGGACTCTGTCTTGGATAACCTCCCTAGGGTTCCCCAGGGTAGCTGATTTCCATTTCCACACCGTGGTAACATGCTTGATAAAGTAGTCTTGGTGACTACCTTTCCTTTACCAGCTTACTTTTCCACAGTCCGCTCCGTATTTCCCGGGGACACCTCACCCATGCATTGAATCCATGGCCCTGCATCTGATTTGAGGAAGCTAAGTAAGACACCCAATTCTTTGTTTTGGCCCAGAAAATAATAGACTTTATTTGTTTTTTTAAAGCATTGTGTTTTCTCATGTTTCCTCTACATGGGATGATTCTGGCTTCCATTTTCCTTACCTGGCTAAATTTTACTTAATTCTTAAAATTATGCCCAAGCTCTGCATCTTTAAGGGAAGCCTTCATTCTTCCCTTCCCTCCCTCCCTCCCTCCCTTCCTACCTTCCTTCCTTCCTTCCATTTATATATTTAAATTCATTGAAGTTTAGTCCATGTATAGTGTAGTATTGGTTTCAGAGGTAGAATTTAGTGATTCATCACCTACATATAACCCCCAGTGCTCATCCCAATAAGTGCCCTCTGTAGTGCCCATCACCCATTTAACCATTCCCCTCATCTGCCTCCCCTTCTGCAAACCTCAGTTTGTTCTCTGTATTTAAGAACCTCTTTTGTTAACACTGAACTGTGGACTGGAAGTTCTATCTCACTGTACTCAAGCATACCTATGTCATGACGTGTCAAGACATGCCTTGATTTGTTGGTCTGACTCTCTAGTAGACTGTGATCTTGAGGGTAGGGACCAGAATATATTTAAATGTTCAGTCCAGCCCTCAAAATATGAAGGAAGACAGCATTGACTAAGCTCACTAACTGTTTGTTTGAATGAATGGTTTCCATTGAACAAATTCATGAATGAACGAGCAAGTAAAAAACCATCCAGGGCAGATTTAATTTGAGAAGTGAAAATCTATTGCTGAGTGAAAATGTATGCAATTAATCCCAAATTGTTTTGGTCTATTTATACTATTGTTCTTCCCAGTAAGCATGGATAACAATAATAATAAAACACAAAATGAGTAATTGTTATGTCTCTGACATTGTGTAAGCACATGAAAAACCTTATACACTAATCTTCCTATTATATATGATGCTATGATATGTTGTATTGCATTATACCTATTATCATATTAGGTAGAGTTTATTACTATTGTGACTTTTGTTATTTTATTTCTATTTACAGATAAATAATGGTCCTGCTGGAAATTTTAAAACAGGTTTTCTTCACAAGCCTGAGAGCCTCAGAAGGTTCCATTAAGCTTATCAAGAAGGTGCAGAATATAGTCAAATGATAGGTTGGCTTGGAAACTCCCCTTCTCTTGCCCTGCTCAATACAGAGAGTTAATAATTGCTAGGGGCAAGCTTCTTGCCTCACACTGTTTTGTAACTCAGTGTAGCCAAAATACTATTATTTTGACTATAGGCTAGATTTCCTAAGACCTGTTCCAAGTTATATTCTTTTGAACACATTCAAAATTTGGGTTCAGCAAAAAGTAGTGAAATTCATTTACTCAACAAACCCATACGGAGTCCTTTCTGTATATACTGCATGGTGTTAGCTTCTGGGGATTGAGATTTAAGTAAGTCAGGATTCTAATCAGTGGCATCATATCTTGAATAACAATTGCCTTTGCAACTTTAGGATGGGCCAACATGTACCATCTAAGTCTTTTTCCTTCTACTGTGTCCGGAATTAAAAATAGAGACTGACTTGATCTTTGATAATTTTGTCTTTGTTTAGAGTTTTTCTGGTAAGAAACTCCAGATGATTTATAGATATTAATGTATTTCTGTTGAAATGACTCTTCCCTTTGTGTCAAAACTGAGCTAAACAATACATTCATGTATGAATTCTTTATTGCCTTATTATTATTAGATTTTATTTACTCTTACGATTTTCTCTCTGTAAGAGTATGTGTTTTGAGGAAAGGAACTATATCTTATCTATTTTTGTATCACTGAAACCTGACATAGCTCCGTGCAGCTTGTTAGCACTCCATGTTTCTGCAATGGATGAAGAAAAATTCCTATAAAACATTTAATATAGTGCTTTGAATGTAAACAATGAGAAGGGATTTTATAGAGTGGTTATATATGAATTTTATCAACAAAGACATTTTAATTTAAGCCCTATGAGCTAATCTGTACCTTCTTGAATCCCCACCCCAGTATCTTTTCTTCCAGACATAATTTGAAGTCAGTGATAAATTCCAATTCATAAAACTAATCTCTAGTGTTACATCCTGTCTGCTTCATTCACTAGCTTTCCAACAATAATCTGAAGTAGTCAGCGTGTAGTAATCAGGAAACCTTTGCTGGCACGTTTCCAAGCCCTAGTCATCTTTTATGAGTCTTAACACTGTTAAGTCACAATGACTTAGGCTCAACCACATGAATGAAAATTCTACAGTCCTTTCCGCCACTATATGCAGGTCCACAATTTACAAAGAGGCTATGTATATTTAAAAGTCTATTTTCACATCAGTGTCTGCAATTTGGAGAGCATTTTCATAAGTTCCCAAATCAGTCCGCCAAGTCATTTTTAAAACTTTAATAAAACATAGCTGAGTCATAATGCTAATAGTTAACATTCAAAATTATGGACTGTGGGCTACGGGCCTTGGTGCAGGAAACTGGGGAGTAGCGATAGGGCTGTCAGAGAAGGACATGTACCCCTGAGAGCATGAGTAGACCGGCGTAGCAAATTCTGTGTAACGCCATGTAGAGCACAGACATTTGTACTGCTCCTCAGTCACATAGGCCTTTGTCCACCCAATGGTAGGATGAAGGAATTGTTTTTCTTATTTCTAGACTTACGGCTTGTTCTGGACATCCCTGCCAACTTTTTCTCCAGAGAGCTAGAGAGTAAATATTTTAGGTTTTTCAGGCCATACAGTCTCTGTCACAAGTCCTCCACTCTGCTGGTATAGCGTGAAAGCAGCCATAGGCAATGCATAGGTAAATGAGCAGAATCGTGTTACAATAAAACTTTATTAACAAATAGTAGAATCTGAGTTTTATGGAATTTTCACATGTCAAAAACATTATCTGTCTTTCGATTTTTCTCAACCATTTAAAAATGGAGGAGCATTCTTAGCTGTGTGGTATAAAAACAGACCGAAGGCTGGAGCTGGTGCATTACCACAGTGTGCCAACGCTGCTGTGAAACAACTCATACTCACTTCACATTTGCTGAATCTCTGTCTGCCTACCAGTCCGTCTCCCTTATGTGCCCTCTACTCTTATTTTGCTTTAAATCCCCTGCAGGAGGACGTTATGCCGAATTATCTCATGCTTGGATGTGTCTAACATTTCCTTCATGACTTTCTCGTTTCCTGGGTGTAGCTTTCCAGCTAGATCTCAAGAAAAATTCAGCAGCGGCAGAAGGGCTGCTACTACAATTATGTTTTGAAAATAGAAATCTGGATCCATCACCCAAGTTCCAGCATTTTCATCTTTCCTTTCACTAAAAGAAAGCATTTGATGTTTTCAATTTAGCTCATTAGGTCCTTTGCAACCTGGCTGTCATCTACTCATCAGATCTTGTTCCTGATAAGTTCTGATTCCCCGTGTGCACAGTCACATTCACGGGGACTCCTTTGTGAATATCTCGGAAAATCACTTAAAAAAAATCCTAGAACAGGGACGCCTAGATGGCTTGATCCGTTAATTGTCAGACTTCGGCTCAGGTCATGATCTCACAGTTTGTGAGTTCGAGCCCCGTGTACGGCTCTGTGCTGACAGCTCAGAGACTGGAGCCTGCTTCGGATTCTGTGTTTCCTTCTCTTTCTCTACCCCTCCACTGCTCATGCTCTGTCTCTCTCTCTCTCTCTCTCTCTCTCTCTCAAAAATAAATAAATATAAAAAACCCCTCTAGAACATACTTTTATTCTAGCATACAAGATGGTCTTGTAGAGTTATCTGTTTATGCACCTTTTCTTCCTAACAGATTGTGGTTTTAGGTGGGCAGAGATTATGTTTTCTTCTTCACAGACATCTTCATTCTACCAGAAGACCTTCACACAGAGGCTACACTGCAGTGTGTTCCTATAAATGGTATTAAATGTAATCATCCCAGAGGTATTTTCACTTTTAGAAGTTATGTTTGTGAACACATGTAAGTTTCTAATTGACACAGTTTCAGGCTCTAGTAAAATAAAGTGAATACATTTGGGAAGAAAAAATAAATAGATGCTATTTTAGGGTACGGGGGCCATCATCACAACAGAGCAGCTGTCTCCGCCACCCCCC